AAGCTTCTGAACCCCCTCCCTGCCGCCTCAATCCAAATTGCACCCATCGGAGCTTGATGGCGTTCGTTCGTTCGCGAGTCGCCGACGAAAACCGGAAGTCCAGCATAACCTAAAGTGGTTGAAGTCCAGTAGTACCTTAAACACCATCAAGATTTCCATGGTATAAACTTTTGAGAGTCAAAACTCCTGACAGAGGGAGCTTTGACTCTTGAAAGCTTATACCCTGGAAATGTTGTTGGTGTTTGAAGCGCTACTGGACTGGAATCTCACCCAAGTCAGTTATCTCTCATCTTACATAACATGATTTGGTTCTTATATCTTTCCTGTGTACTCATATTTGTCCATGCTGACTTTTATTTTGCGTCTAAATATCCAGCTGTTTACTGAGATCATTAGAATGTATCATCTGTCCTCTGTAGTGTCCTGGCTGAGTATCTTCAGGAAATCTGACCCATGGCTTGGCCACTCTTTCATCCAAACAGCTGAAAACATTGAAAACCATGAAACCCACCACTGTTGCCTTCAGCACACCACCTTAGTGGGGAAGGGAGTGCAGGGCACTGCTCCCTCTAAGCTGTGGAGTCTTGTGAGCAAAAATCCTACTTTGTGAGCTACTGGCATTAAAGTTGTGAGTGAGTGATTTGGCTACTGCATAAATTAGTTTGCCCTGGAGCCATCCTTCCTGAGCTAAGACAAAAATGTGTGAGTCGGAGGCTAAAAAACTGTGAGCTAACTCAGCTTAGAGGGAACACTGATGCAGGGTGATGAGGTTGGATATCACCAATATTGCAGTCCTAAGAACATTTTCCTGGGAGTCAGGCCCACTGAATAGACCTGAGTAGGATTCTGAGTAGTCCTGCTCAGGATGGCTATGTAAAAGTTGGTATTGCCAGACTTTGTCAGGGAACACTGAAAGTCATCCTTGCTTCCACTTAAGTTATCAGATATATTTATTAAAAACAGCTAACATTATTTTTTTCAGCTTCATTTAGCCTTTCCACTGGTGTGATAAATACTCCTAACCAGAAAAAGTATGTGTGTGGTATTCTGTACTTCTGTTGTTTGCTATTAGCTGTATCTAAAAATTACAAAGGTTCACAATGAATGTATTAAAACCCTGTGGTAGAAGGATATGAATAGGTAGTGTCGATTTTCTATAGTTTAGTACATAGTTTGTTTTCCAGGGTGGTTTCCTATTAGATATCATGGGCCTGATTCCCCTGGACCCTTAGACACCATTTAAGTACACGTAGCTGTGACTTTTTCCCCACCATAGAGAACAATGGAGGGGATAGGGGCAACCTGTTTGAGGGCCTGTAGAATTGGACCCCTTGGTCCAGTGCTCTTGAACCTTGGTTGGTATCTTGGGGAGAGGCTCCAGCAGCTACCCTGCATGTTTGGAGCCTCTCCCTCAAACCCCCTTTCCTCCAGCCCCCAGAATATACCCTATGTTTTCGCCATTGACTTCAATGGCCCATAGCTGGCCGAAAGACTCCTGAATCGGCTCGTACTGACTAAACTGACATGCGGGAAGCTTACAGGCAGCCGAAATTGATTCTGCCCGATTCGGCCGAATCCGAATGGGTTCATTTTTTTTTCTTGCACAACCCTACTCTCAAGTTTTGGAAAAGATTGTAGCTAAATCTTGATGGCTGATCTATTGTGAGTGGAAAAGTTTGGGTTTTCCTGGTCTTGCCCACACAGTAGCCTGTTCCCCTATGGTAGCATTTCCTCTTCCTACTGCAGAGAGATTTACATACTGTTATACTAAAATATGCATCAGGTTCTCTGAATCCACAGGTTTCATTTTTTAAAAAAAGTCTCTAGCTCATTTCCTAGTGGAGATATATATGGGGGGAAAGTTTGGGTTTTTTTAGTGAAAGCTGGGACCTCATGGAGCCTGATGTTACATTAACAGGAAAACTTACTGTTTGAAAGCCCTGTCACTGCTATGCAGTATTAGCAGCTGTGGCAGCAGCAGGAAAATTAGAGAGGCCTGTGCCCATGTGAAAAACACCTTTAAAAAAATTGTTGCCCTTCCCCCAAGGGCACAGATTTCCCTTCTTCCATTTTATCCTCACAAGAACCCTGTGAGGTTGGTTAAGCTGAGAGGGAATGACTGACTGACAGCCACCTACTTTCATGGCAAGCGAGGATTTGAACTGGGATCTTCCCAGAATTAGTCCAACATTCTTTAAAAATATGCCATACTGTTTAAACACTGGGAAAGTGTAGAAAGAATGCGAAGGGTGACGGGAGGGGGCCTCGATCTTTTCCTGCAAAGCATCAAGCTATTTAAATGGTTAGACACTTATATTTTCAGCCAAATTTTTGTCAGCCAAGTGATTGACAATCTGTTCTGTCATATTACAGGCCAAATATATAACAGTTTTTTCAATGGGAGAAAAGTCTTTTTCAATTGCTTATTTGATATCAACTAGGAACTGCTTTTATAATAAAAACTTTTTAAAAGTTGGATGCTGACTAGAACCAGTGAAATAGTTTCTGTTTACACTGGTGTTTTTGTTTTTGCTTTTTTTAAACTTCCCAATACTTTAACTGAGATATTCCTGATTTATAGTAGAATGTAAAGTAAACATCTTGTGCAGTTTTTATTGCTTCTCTGGCTAAGAGCATGATGTAAAACTCCTGATATTAATAATCTGGAAACAGAAGAATGTTGGCTGTCCTCAATTGCTTAGAGACAAGTCATTAAATTCTTGGCTATCTTGTAATGAAATTAGTACAGAAAACTCCTGTATAACTGCAAAATGAACTTACGGTTGAAATGGTGATATAGTCTCTGGAGCATCAAGAACACCAATGGAATAAAACTCTGACACACCAAATTCCTGTCCTGGAATGAAGCAGCTGTTTCCACCCCAAGTAATATATATATTGCCTTCCTGATGCCTTCCAAACCTATGATATACTTGGAGTGTGTGTATATATATATACACACTCCAAGTATATCATAGGTGTATATCCCACTCCAAGTATATCATAGGAGTATGTGTATATATACACACACACTCCAAGTATATCATAGGTGTTGGAAGGCATCAGGTTCATGTTTCCTAAAGCCTTTCTCATTTTCTGCACTTATCCACCATTCACCTATAGTATGATGCAAATCAGGGTATAGCAACTAGAAAATTCTCTCCAGGTTGAAGGCGTTTGTGGTGAAGAAGTAAAGCTTAGACTAGAACCAGGGGATCAAGTTCGGGTCCCTACCCCATTGAGCTTACTTGGTCACACCACAAGATCATTATGAGGATAACATGGAGGAGAGGGAGAGCACACAACCCTGAGCCAACTTGGAGGGGTGGGATAAAAATGATGAGATTTTGTAGAATTCCATCAAAAGCATAAACAGTTTTTGGTTAACTCTTAAAGTATAAAAGTGGCCAGGTGGCACAATCACTTTAAAAATTCTTTTTTTTTTTTAGATGCAAAGATTTTGCAGTTGCTTTTCCCTGTTCATATGAAATCATCACATAAAAATCTAGACCAGCAAGTGAATGGGGCAGTTGCTCTGACTCTGCAAAGGGTGCCAAGCAGTTGGTTGGACCATCTGCTTCCCTAGCCCACTGTTTCCCTATATCTCATGAAGTTGTCTGTTCATGGGAGCTTGGGCAGAAATAGGAATGACTGGATCGGGTAGGAAGAAACAGCAGTAGGACAGGTGAGAAGAATCAGTGGCCACACGACAAAAATGGGAAGGCACCAAACTCAGTCAAAGGAACAACTAGTAAGCTGTTTTCAGTCCCCGCTGTAAAGAAAGGCAGAGTATACATGAACAATAAATGTAACTGAAGATGGGGGGCAGATAAAAGGTAGGTTGGTGAGTGTGTGGAAAGGAGAGAAGGGGTCAGGGAAAGGTGACAACATGGGATTGCCATGAGGAGAGAAGGAGAAAATAGTGTGGGGAAAGGGATACAGGTGAAAATGAAGTGCCCCACTGTGCAACTAGGCCTGACCTGTGTGCTAATTAGGATTGCCAGCTGCTTAGCTTCTGCCAGCAGGGTGCTGCATGCTTCTTCCTGCGATTTTCTTGCACACGTGCATTGCAATGACATCACCCGGTAGTGACATCATAGGGCCGGGCATGTCGTGCAAGCAACACTCTAGCATTTGGCCAAAAACTCTATCGTCATCACAGAGTTTTTAGCCAAATGCTAGAGCATCCCCCACGTGAGGTGCCCAGTGCCCTCTGGGTGACATCATTGAATCGGGCACAATAGGGCTGCCCCCACTGGCAAGCTGGCTGGTGGCTGACTCTGGGCTTCAAAATCAGGGGAACCCCCGCCCCCATTGGGAGAATGGCTACCCTATGGCTAACACCAGACAACTGTTTCATAGTTTTCCCTTGTACAGTCTGCTAGTGGGAGGGAAGGAGGGAAAGCTAAAGATGGGGGGTGGTGGTGGAATGAAGATTGTAGAATTACCAGCCTCCAGGTGGGGCCTGGCGATCTCCTGCTTTCACAACTGATCTCCAGCTGACAGAGATCAGCTCCCCTAGAGAAAATGGCTGCTTTGAACTGTGAAATCTATGTAGGGTTGCCAGGTCCTCTGGGGGGGCAGGGGCTTGCCTGCTCGATGGGCCCCTTCCTGGCCTGGATCGGGCCCCAGGGGGGGAACCCCACTCCCAAAGTGCTGGGATTGTGGCGACATGCCTGGCATGATGACGTCACCCGGAGGTGACGTCATCGCACCAGGCACATTGCGGGGGGACGGTCTATCATTCAAGGGAAAACTCTATGTTTTCCCCTCGAACAATAGTGGTCCCGTGCCGGACGCAATGACATCACTTCTCGGGGATGGCATTGCAGCACGCGCATTTTGCATGTGTGCCGAAGAAGTCTCAGAGAGGGCCAGGACTCCCCTGCTGCAGCTACAGGTAGGACCTGGCAACCCTAACTCTATGGCATTGTACCATGCTGAGCCCCCCCAAAACCCCACCTTCTCCTGGATCCACCCCCAAAGTCTCCAGATATTTTCCAGCCCAGACCTGGCAACCCTAGAAGATTGGTTGGCTGGGGGGTGGGATGGAGAGATAGAAGCAGGGAAAGGGGAGAAGCTATGGGGGCTTTCAGGGGAGGGAATGAGGAGATAGCGGGGGAGGGGAAAATGAGACCCCCACCCCCTTCACCTCTCCCTTGCCTGGGGTGGGCCTATGGCCTATGGCGATTGAAGGGGATCTGGGCCACTGGCCTCCTTGGCTGGGACTTCCCTTCTCCTGCCCTGCCTTTCCTGAGGTTTCAAGAAGCTGCTCTGCCTGCCTGCATAGGCCCCAGGAAGCCCCAGTTGCTGTTGGCCCCAGGAAGCCCCAGTTGCTGTTGGCCCCCTCCCCTAGCCTGTTCCCATGTGCGGCCTGCTGTTTGAGCCTCATCTCCTATCTGAGGCCTGCCAGGCTCCGAGGCTGCTGCCGGTGCATTTCAGAGCATGGCCTCATCCTTGTTCTTTTCCCCGCAGCCTCATGTTAGACTGCCTGCCTCAGCAATGCTGTCCCCTGCTGGAGTCCTCTCTGGAGCAGATGAGTACAGGGTGGGTTTGCCATCTCTGGACACCCCTGCAAGTCCTTGCAGGTCTCCTACTTGTTAATAATAATAATAAAATTTATAAGGTACTTTTTGAGTGTTCAGAGTACTTCATGTACAATCTCTTGGTGACTGCTAGACCAAAACTGCAATCTATGTTGTCTCTGTATTGCACAACTGAGGCTGAGAGAGAGTGACAGCTTGTTTAAAGTCCATCGTGGAGTTCATGACAAATATGAAATTTGAATGGGAGATTTCTCATTTCACTGTTCAGACTTCAAAATAAGAGGTGAGATCTTGCTTGTGATGGAAGAACCTGCTCTTTTGAGGAGGCATGATGTAAAAGTGAAATGAAATGAAAAGATGTGATGGAAGAAGACAATGTAGACTAGGGTGGAATGCAAACTCATTTCTCCTCAGGGCATACAATGGAAGGAGTGATGTGTATTCCAAGGACGCAATCTACCTTTAAATCTTGCTCAGTATTTCTTGTAGTGACACCTTGAGAATTATGCTGAACATAGATGGGTTAAATCCCATATGTAATGCCCAGTAACTTACAATGAGTCTGATATTACTGGTTGTCACAAGGGAGAGAGGAGGAAGATGAATATTACAAAAGGTCGATATATTAAGAAGAGAAAAAAACTTACAGTGAACTTAGGCAACATTCAAAGTAAGCCAGAAATATTGCAACATTGAGAAGCAAATGGGGGCAAGTCAGAATTTGACATTGATTTCAAAATTGCTTAATTTTAATGTTTCTTCATGATAGTCCCATTTATTTACATTGAACTCACCCTGTATATAGGTATTGACCCAAACACAATACCAATATCTTTGTTTCCAGACTTGAAACTTTCCAGAGGATATTTGTGAATCTGTAAGAAAAAAAATGTTATTGTATTTTCAGTTCCAGAAAAAGAAACAAAAGACAACTGTATAATTTTTAAATCAGCATTTACATAACTATTTATGGGCAATATTGATCTTTCCGTGGTTATTTGAACACAAATTTACATCAATAAGCACAACAGTTGTTGGTGATGATGCTTTTACGTTCTTCAACCCTGGGCTATGATGTTGCTCGAAAATAAAAAGGGAATCTTGCTTACTTTAGAGGCGTGAAACTCACAGCTCGATCCTGGGGGTGGGGGAGTGCAATCGGCACAGGGAGCCGATTGACCCCCGTGCTGGTGGAGTTACACTGGCATAAGGGCCGTTTACGCTGGTGCAGGGCACACTTCCATGGGTGCAGCTGCACCACAGCCACATGCCAGTGGATTGAAGGCTCGAACCCGTGCTCTGGCATAAATGTGGGTATTCCAGGGGTCATGGTGCCAGTTAGGCGACTCCCAAAGCAGTTTCAGCATGGGAACACCCCCCAGAGCAGGTGCAAAATTGCACTGGCAAAAATGCCGGCACAGCCCATTGGCAGCCATGGTAACTCCTAATTCACCCCCCCCCCCAACAGCTGCAGCCACTCCCACTGGAACCCAAGCAGCACAGGATACCAACCAATATGCACCCAATCAGCACACCCCCATGCTATCCCTGCCCCTCCTCAGCACCCAATTATGGCCTCCCCGCCCTACAAATGGTTCTAGGAAGTCACCCCACAACTCCAGATGCCAGGCGCATGGCATGCTCCCTGCTGTGTGACATAACAACATAAGAGAGTCTGTTTTGGACCAGGCCAATCACCCATCCAATCAATCACTCTGTGTCACACAGTGGCCAAACCCCAGGTGCCATCAGGAGGTCCACCAGCAGGGCCAGAACTCCAGAAGCCCTCCCACTGTTGCCCTACAAGCACCAAGAATACAGAGCATCACTGCCCCAGACACAGTATTCTGTCTGTGTTTTGTGGCTAATAGCCACTGATGGACCTCTGCTCCATATGTTTATCCAATCCCATCTTGAAGCTGTCCATGCTTGTAGCATGGACCTGAAACTTCACCATGTGCCCTCTCTGCAAGAGAAGCTGGACCTTGGGAGCATGCAGACACATCCAGCCTCCTGGTCCTTCCCATGCCCATCGGGAAGGTGTCCTTAGCACTAAAGGACTGAGTGAGGCTCTGCTCAGAAACACCATGATCCAACCCTAACCACTCTGTTGTCCCTGGAACCCTTCAGTAAAGCTCATCCATTATGTGTGTCTCAGGTGTTGGTGTTTGTTGCCAACTATGGGAGGAGGGAGCTTGTTCGGGGCGCTGCACAAGCCACAGGATCCTCTCAGACACAACAGCGGTGGGGGCCCCATCCTGGCAATGCTGCTACAGCAGCAGACACAGATGGATGGCAGAGAAAGGCTACAGGCCAGGCTGCCATTTCCCCAGCCAAAACCTGTGTCTATCACACCGCCCCTGCCTAGCAACAGTGCTGGGACAGAACGTTACACTGCCAACACTGATGAAGCACCTTTCCCCCCACTCAGCTGCCACATAACTTTCCTCTTTGGGAAGTGACTAGCGTTGCCACTGTTGTGCCATGGTCAGCTGCCACAGCACAGGCACAACAGAGGATTGCTCTGCCCAGCACTGTCTACAGAGATACTAACACAACCAGTTTTGAGCTTTTTCATATTTTTTTGTGCAGTCATAATGTCGTTAGTGTGGGACAAAAAGCTGAGGGGAAAATATTTTTAAATGACAATGCAGAGTGTATCTTACGTAGGTTTTACCATTGGATTACAGCTGGAGAGAATGTCAGTGGTACTTTTATTGGCATGTGTGCAAGTACTTTTTTTCGCTTCACTCAGCAAATCTAAATTTCAGCAAAATTTAGAAAAAAAGACCTGAAGTGGCATTTAAGCCTTCCTACCTTAGGAGAAGCCAGAGCTTTGAAAAACTTGAAATCCTGTTCCACTTCCAGAACTCCAGGCTTTTTGAGAGCTAAGGCGCTTCTAGTCAACAACTTCCACCTGTTTGGATTTTTTCCACAATAGAGCAGAGAAAACCCCATGATGTTTACCAAACAAACATGCAGATTTATATCATTGTATGCATTATGAATAACACCAAAATGATAATAAAATATGCAAAGACATGCAATTGTGCCAGTTTAAAGCAATAAAGGCTGCAATGCTATGGAAGCTTGTAGGGCCCATTGAACTCAGACATATTCTGAGTCATTATTATTATAATTAACATTTTATATAAGCCATTCAGTATTCCAAGTGCTTCACACATTATCTTGTACTTCTTACAACAGCCCCTTCAAAACCGGCCAGCATTCTTCCCAGATCGCAGATGAGAGACCAAGGCTAGTTTGCTTTAAGGCCACTCAGTGGGTTTGGGACAGTGTTGCACTAGGGGACAGACTGGATTACAGCTCATTTCTTAGCTGCTGTGATGTATCAGTGCTGTATTTCTTTATCTAAATCACATGGCTTGAACGACTGCCTGACTGTTGTGGTTAGATGGCTAAGGTTGAACAAGTTGAAACTGTAACTTGACAAGATGGGTAATGCTGGTTCAGAAGGCTGAAGTCTTGAAAGACATTGAGTTTTCCACGTTTGTTGAAGTTCAGCTGACCCTTGCTAACTCTGTTAAGAGTCTAAGGTTAACCCCTAGTGCTAACCCAGCACTATTGCTGGAGAAGCAAGTTAATTCAGCAGCAGCAGCAAACATATGCTTTCTACCATCTGTATGTAGCCTGGAAGATGGCTCTCTATCTTGACTCAGCTGATCTGGCCATGTGGATCTATGCCACAGTGACCTCAAGGCTAGACCACTGTATTGCACTGTACCATGGGTCTGTCCTTAAAGTGAACTCAGAAACTCCAGGTGGCAAAGAATGTTGCAGCTCAGTTACTCGCAGGAGCTAGGCAGATTATGTATATTGCACTCGTTCTGCAATCATTGTATTGGCTACCAATCAGCTCCTGAGTTCATTTCAAGGGCCTGGTTATCACCTACAGAATTCTTTATGGCCTTGGACCCACATATCTGCAGGACTCCCTCTCCTGCTATGCTCTACCTTGCCAGCACCATTAATCTGAGCAAAGTGAAAGTGCCACCTTGCATAGGAGCAAGATGGATGGCTGCCCATGCATGTGCATTCCCTGTTGTGGCTCCCACCTTTTGGAATGGCCAGCCTGAGGAGGACATTAAAAAGGCTCCCACACTTCTCTCGTTTTCCAGAGTATTTAAACCAGAATTGTTCAGAAGGACATTTTTATAAACAGAATGGTTCAGGAGGACACTTTTTTATAAAACACATAGGATTGTATTCTATTCCTACATGCACATCTGGTACCTTTCTTGTTGCATTACTTTTTCTAACTTTTGTAATCCTCATCCAATTACATTGTTTACTGGATGTTTTATGCTATCTGATTACATTGCTTTATACTGTGTGACCAACCTTCAATTTCAGTGAGAAAATGGGCTATAAATATAAATAAATATAAGTAGGATTGGCATGTTGTTTAGGGGGGGGGGTAATCAGCAAAAATTGCCCTCCCACTTTTCCAACAGACAGACATAATTACTCTGTATGGAAAGGGTGCTTATTATGTTTCTGATTTGAAAAGTAGATGAAGCCTCAGTTCTTTGGTGGTCTTTGTTTTTGCATTTGTGTGTGTGTGCCTGTGCCTGTGCCTGGAAGTCATGGCAACCTCTGGCGACTCCTATGAGGGCATGAAGGACATTCAGAGGCTTGATATCCTGCCTCTGGCCTCCCGGCCCTGGAATTCTCTGGAAGGCAAATACTTGCCAGGGTCAGCCCTGCTTAGCTTCTGAAATCTGGCGAGATCAGGCTTGCCTGGCTATCCAGGTCAGGGCTCTTTGGTAGTCTTTTATGCTGAAGTAATTCCATGTAGGTTAATATATATAGAACCTGTCGACTTGCTTTAGCTTTGAATTTTGTGCCTTGGGGGTGGACCTCTCTGACTTCAGGACTGTATGACTCTGATTTGCAAGTGCATGCAGAACAACAGCCATGTAAACTTACTTTTCCCGATCAAGCACTAGAGGATATTCAAACTTCTGCTTTTTTTCCATATACTTGCTGTCATCTTTTATTGTGAAAGGAAGGTCATTTACATCACAAGGCAGAATTATATCTGTGGATTCAGAGAGTTCAAACAATCGTCGCTGCCCAAAATAGCCAATGTAGTGTCCACTGAGTCCATGCCAGAGCCTACATAAATTGTGGGGAAAATCCAAGGAAAAATGTTAAAATGTATAATCTTTTAAAGAAAAAGAAGTTAAAAAAAGCCTAATTATGCCATATTCCTCCACCTTCCAGCTGTTATCAATGAATCTTCTTCGTGGTCTCTGTGCATCACACCTCTGGAATATAGTGCACCTGCGCCAACCCCGATCGGTAGGGCTGCCAAATGCCCCCGGGGGGCGGAATTCCCCCCGGTTTCGAGCCCTGATTCCCGCTCCCACGGAATCGGGGCCCGGGGGAAACCCCACCCCCGCGTCTGCGTCACCCGGAAGTGACGTCGGACGCTGGGGGCGGGGCCATGCCATTTGAGGGGAAAACAAAGGGTTTCCCCCTCAAATGGCTGCCACTCTTTGTTTTCCCCTCAAATGGCGTGGCCCCGCTCCCAGCGTGTGATGTCACTTCCGGGTGACGCACACGCGGCACGCGCACAAAGTTGATGCTGGCCGGGAGCCCCCCGCTCCCGGCCAAAATCAATTTGGCAACCCTACCAATCGGTACAATGGAAAGCAAAAGGAATTTTCGCGCCCACTCCCCGGTCACATGCGGGGCTCTGCTGCGCATGACTAAGGGAGGGGCAGTTCTCTTCTGATCGCCGTGCTGGTAGGACTCTCTCCAATTAGGTTGGTAAAACTATACTTTTTTGGGCCTTTCGGCCTTGTTTTATTCAAGTTTAGTTAGTTAGGAAAGTTTTCCAGTTAGATATTTTGTTGGACTTTATTTCTACCATCCCTTCCCCCGGCCTATGGCCGCACGGTGGGGTTTCTTTAAATGGTGCTTGGAATGCGGCAGTAAGATCACCCCCCCCCCAGATGGACATTCTCTTTGCCTTTTATGCTTGGGGGAATCGCACCGAGTTGCCTCTTGTGCCCATTGCTCCAAGTTATCCAAGCAGACCAGGAAAAATAGGGCCGCTAGACTGCAAGTGGTGCTGATGGAAGCCGCACTCTCTCCAGTGGTGCCATCATCTCAGGAGATGTCCGGACATGCATTGATGTTGACGCCAGTGTCAGAAGTGACAGTCGCCATGTCTTTGACATCGACCTCCATTGATGCCGTAAAATCGGTGCTGAAACGCCCGATTTAGGCACAACATTCCGAAGCCCATACTCCTTCCAAAAGACATAAGGAGGGCAACGACTTTCAGCTTATCAAGCTTAAGAAGCACAAGAAAGGCTCTCGCGTAGCCGCTTCGCTTGATTCAACAAGCCGAGGGCAGCCACAAGGTGCACTTTGGTCACCTTCGCTACGTCCCATCCAGTCCTTTGACTCCGACCAGGAGTTGGACTTGACTCAGGTTCCTCGATCACCCAATGTCGAGAACCTGCAACGAGATCGAAGGACACATAATGTCGTCCCTTCACCTCCGTTCATCCCCGATGAGTGAGATCGATCTCCGACGCCGATTCTGCTCACGTCATGGGATCAGCGCCAATGGCAATATTTATATGGAGCCTACCCCTTTTCGGGGTCGATGCCATGGCTCCCTCGTCAGTCTTCCTCGTCCAGAATTTCTTGGTACCATGATCCCTACTCAGCACCGGAATTTGTTAAACCTTCCCAATCGAGACTGATAACTAAAGATCCAGGTCTTCAGCCGTCGGCACCAAAAACTCCCATAGATCAGTCAGAACTTAGGCCTTCGATGCCAATCCTCCAAACGTTGTTCTCTGAGCCCTCAAACCCATCCAGCTGCCCCAGCTCTTACTCAGATGAGGAGAGTCCCCAACTACCGATAGAAGCATCCCTGCAGCAACAAGTCGAAGTCGAGCTCCCTATTTCACCGTCGGAGGACGTTAAACCCTATGGGGACTTTATTAAAAACACCCACAGTCATGATTCGTCTCTTTACACACTACTTAACCTGATAGGGTCCCCTTGAGGATCTGGGCCCGTCGATAGGTTTGGGATTAGGATCCTCTGAGCCTATTGTCTCCGGAGTAAAGCTCCAGCTGTTCGGAGGACCATGTGCTTGCCTTGCCTGGTCTCCGGTGGAACACAACAGGATAACATTAACTAGTGTCCATATGAGTACATCAAGGGTGCAGTCTAGGGCACTCAGGCTGAATGCACAGTGGGCCCTCTTCTGTGCAAAGGCAAGGACAAGCAGAGGGACCTGGTGTAAACATCTCCCCAGTACCATATACAAAGCCACTCACAAGAGGAGCTGCAGCTTTACCCAGCCTATCTTGCTGGTTTTATGGTGACATGCAAAACTCTGACATGGCACCATCAAACCAATAGTAACCCTGGGGATATGTCTGCAACTAGACGAATTCCCAATTAATGATAAGTGTTGGCTATTACTAACCTGACAGAAGCATCAGTAGAGGCAGTCACTACTAAGCCCCTTTCTTCATCATAGAACAAGTTGACTATTTTGGTGGAATGAGCTCGCCAGCAAAGTTGTTGTTTCACATTCTACAAGGGAAAAAAGCCATTAAAAGTATCAGGGCATTTTGGTTTCCTTGATGGATAGCAGGAAACTAACAGCTAAACAGAGCCCATGATTATGTGTTGGTGGGTTAACTTAACACAGCTACCCAACTAACATGTAATTGCTCACCTAATGGGTGAGTTAACTTTGCCAGCAGCATTTGCAATTGCATCTATCCTCTTAGAAAGGTAGTACATAAGACCCAGGCTGAAGAATCACATATAGCTGCAAAATGGTGGGGGCGGAGGTGCTACATATGAGGAGGGATCCATCAAAGAGGGTTGTACCCCTCATGAGCAACTGAACAGCCCACTGGGACGGGTCAGCTCTCTGCTCATGACTGGTGGGCAGGGTATAAGCTGAGCTGGTGGGTGTTCGAGTGTTCCTAATAATAGGTGAATTTTAAAAATTGCTCTTAAAATGCTTTCCCATTTTCTCACCTTGTTGGTATCCAGTGGATCTTCTAAGAATGAACCAATGTTCCATCGTATGACATGTCCCTCTGTTAAGAGAAAAACTCCATTGAAATAGTATTTTCACATTACAAAACTAGCCCAGGATAATCACATTACTTATGAATTCTGTAAATAAGGCCAAGATGAGGGTTGGGCCAGTTAGTGTTTAAATTAGCAGAGGAAGTTTATGGATCCATATGGAAACTCCAGGGAGCTGGTAACTATAATCAAGTTGCTTACAAAAGTACCACTTACCAGCTCCTTCTCCAGCTTCATGCACCACTGATGATGTTTTAACAAGACTGGACTGTTTAATGGTTACACGTTTATTTTCTTTATGAAGAGACAGGCTTAAGGGGGCAACATTCTCCATACAATCAAGAATACTGCACATTGGCTAGGAAGGTATATTTACAAAATATATTACAATGTTTTAAGACATATAAAGTGATATTTATGTCTAATTAAAAAAGGCTTCCTCCTCCCCTGGACTTTTTCTTATCAAACAAGAGAGATTTGTCTGCTTCTGCATTTTGCTTCACACATGACATTTTACATACATTGGTATATATGGTGGAGGGAATTTTTTGTGTGTGTCAGTGAATGAAGTAAAATAGCACACTTGACTGTTTTACTGTGGGTACGTAATTGGCAAGCTATGGATTGCATGCAGAGTATCTTCTCCAGGACAATTACATTTGGCAAAACAGATGTGTGAGAACTTTACGAATGACAGTACAGATTATTCCTCCCCCCTAGCCCTTCAGAATAAGTGGATCTTTTTCACTTTGATGGGAAATTTTTCACAGCTCTCCAATTAGGGAAACATACCTTTTTCATAAACAAATATGATCAAGGCTATTATTATTTTATTCAAATAACTTTGGGTCTAAATTGGAGGAGACCCTCACAGGTAGTAAATATTGTTGCCAGTCTAACAATTTCATTTTAGTCAGTCTCCAACAAATAATAAAAAGCAGCCTGCCAGAAAGAAATTCCCCTGTCTGCAGTTTGACAAGGATTATCACATGGATAAAGCCTACAACCCTCAAAATTTCATATTTCTTGGATGGGGAGAGAAAGCTCAAAATATGCTGTGTTTTCACATACATACACATACTATAATACATGGATGTTTTCTCCTATCCACCTGTAATATAGGAGGTATACTTTATTTAGGGGACAAAATGTCTGAGACTTTCATCCCATTTGGTAAAGGGAAGATGAAATAGGAATGAGTGCCCCATTTAAACTAGTGGTAATGACTACCAAATTGATTGAAAAACACCAAATGCATGACATAATTATTCAAAGAAATTGAATGTTTAAAAAATGAATGACATAAATAGAAGTCTATACATGTCCCTCCTTAGCATATACAAGGCTGTGATGTGTGAAGCTTGGATTTGTATGTGCACAGAGGTGGAAACTCACTGTACATATAATGCACCGTATGAGCTTTTTGAGAAATGTGTGTTAAGTAGTGGGTCTCAGTACACAACAGTATGTATTAACTTATTTGTTATAACCTTCTTAGGCTAACAAAAGTCCTCAAGGCAGGTTATATCATAAAACCATAAAAAGAATATCAGTATAAAAGTAATTTAAAAAAATTCATATGTGGAAATCAGCATAATGTAATGTGTCACACAGCTGTAGTGTTGAATGCTTATGGTTGTTCTTTAGTTCACAGTGGCATTTGTTTGTTATTTCTTCAAGTTTCCCCTGTGAATTCAGTAGTCTTTTTGCCTGACAGAAATTATTAAATAGACTTTGGCCCTGTGTTTCAATTTTAGTTTGGTGCGGACTTCCGGTACGGCGCATCGACGGGTGGGCGAGAGCTTGGTTTGCTCCGTCCCCGCCCGAACTGTTTTCGCTCCGTTCGAGCCTCCCGTGTGTCGGGAGAGCTCGACCAGCTCCCCGGAGGTGGGGGCTGGAGCATGGGGCGTCTTTTTGGCCCTCCCTTGCAATCGGCAGTACGGGAGGGGTGTCCAGAACAGCCCCGAAGCCGAGGCGAGCAACAGGAGAACATGGCCGCCATGTTCGACTAGAAGCGACCATCCGTTTTTATTTCTCAAACGTTTAAAAGGATTATAAATACAGCAGCGCAGCGACATAGAAACAGAGAAAAGAGTCTTGAGAGAGTTGGATGAGAAGATATCCCCCCAAAACACTTGTGTTCTAAATGGAAAGGTAAAACGGCTGTCAAGCAATGGACTTAACTGTAAGCCTTTCATAATATTTTCTGCGGGGGGGAAGAGAGCTTCGTGAATCATGCTGGTTCAGTCAAGTGGTTAAGAGAAAAGTAAGGGGACTAAAGAGGCAGAGACTGTAAAATAAAGAGACATTACTGGGACCTTGTAGGATAAGAACTGGATATATGGCTGAAATGGAGTATATAGCGGGAGAAGAGGAGGAGTCAGAGGACCAAATGACTATGGAACAATTCTTAAAAGCTTTGAGGGAAACAGTCCTAGAAGCAGTTCAGAGTGGTTGTGAACAAGCACGTAAAGAAATACTGGGAAAGCTACATAAGACAGAAAATGAAATGGGAGAAGAAGATCAGGAACAAAATAATGTTAAGGAGGCTTTATGAGGAGGATCAAAAGGAGAAGAGAGAGAGTGATAAAGAAGAAAAGTCTGGTGAAACTCAGGTGGTGGATTGTGTGGAAATAAAATGCCTACCAACAGAAAAGACAAAGGAGAGACCAAATAAAAAACCAACTAGAGTCAAGTTCAGACAGAGGAAAGGATTGCAAAAGAGAAGTAAACAGAGACCCGGAACTGGAAATAGGAGAGAGGAAAGGATCAAGAGATGCAAGGAACGGAAATGGGAAAGTAAAAGAGACGATAAGTTATGGAAAAAAGGAAGGTTGGGAAGAAGGACGAGATCTGGAGGTCAAGGGAGCTATAAAGAACGAAGTCACCAAGAAGGGATGAGGCAGAGGAAAAGAAAGCAGATGCGAAAGGAAAAAAATAAATTATATTAAAAAACGAGGAAATTAGACTTCTTCAGATATAGGAATAATTGGGATACTACCTAAGAATTGATTTATTTACTTCTTGAATTATAGGTGGAATGTTTATTTAGTTATATTAGTATTTAGTGTTATCAATTGTTATTATTTTATAAGGGGACGGTGGAAAAGGGTAAAATCAATTGGTTGGGAATTAAGGGAAAATAAAGATGGAATATGAATTAAAGGGGTTAAAAACGGGATAGGAAGAAATCTTATTTTGTTTTTGTTTTTCATAATGAATTTAGAATTATGCTATAGGGAAGTTGAAATGAATTTAAAGGCTTTGTATAAATAGTAATGGTTCTATTGTGTGTTATAAAAATTGGTGGAAAGGGTTAGATAGTTGAAAAATTATATTTGATGAATTTTATAGGTTTGGAATGGCTTGGAAGACTAGATTTGAAAGCAAGGCGAATAGGGCAAAAATCATTGATTTATAGGTCTGTCTAAAATACATAGTAAACTGATTAATCCCTGATAGGAAATAGTAAAGATAATGATGGTGACATGGAAGGTGTAGCGAGGTTTAGAGATATGAGATAGGAGGAGGACTGTGGTAGTGTTTTGAGTAAGCGATATAATAGGGCGGTGGTTGTGATGATGGAGGTAGATATGTTTTGCTAAAACAAGGCTAAGAATGTAGTCTAAAGGATAAAGAAGGCAAGGGAAATGAAGATAAGTACATTTGGGGTAGGAATGTGATATACAAATATTAATAAAATGTGAAGTTAAGGGTAACAAGAGAGCAAGAGAATATGAATATATACACACATATATACACACATATATACACACACCGTATTTTCCGGTGTATAAGACAACTTTTTAACCCAGGGAAATCTTCTCAGAAGTGGGGGGTCGTCTTATACGCCGGTAAATATGGTAGTTTTCTTTCAGCAGCTTTGTGTTAAAAAACTGTCTCGGATCCGCCACATACGCCATACAGTTGCTATTTCCTCCAGCGAATGTGAAAGGGGATTTTCCCAGATGAATTTGATTGTTACTCCAGAAAGGTCCTCCTTGAAAGTCAAGACTATAACATCCTTATTATTCATAAGAATTGTTGGACCTCCTCTTAAAAGCTTTGATCCAACAAAGTTTGTGAAGACCTGGTTGCTTCAAGGTCATCGTTCAGCTTCGGACCCCCAAAGTAGGACCCAAAAAACCCCCGAGGAGGAGTCTGATCACAGGATTGAACTTTGGAAAACCCTGTGCTGCTGAGGTTAGTTGTTCTCTATGTGCACACTGTTCTACAGCAAAGTCTGCTGTCTTTCCCTTTTTGTAATGATTGTTGGATCTCCTTTAACAGATTGTGCAACCTTCTTTAAAAGAGCTGCAAAAAAGGGGGAAAGCGTGCAGGGATGTTGCTGCTTCAAATCAATTCTTCATCACTGGATGTCCAAGCCCCCAAGGATGATTGAGGAAGTTGGTGACATCTCCAAAGTCTGGCACATCCAGCTCCTTCAAAGTTGAGTAAAAGTTTGAAGTCAAAATTCACTATGTGAACTTTTAACTAGAATTTGTTTTATTTA